GTATTACAACAGGTGTAGTGCATCCTAATTTTTTTTTAACGTTAACATTTCTATATGACAATGTAGCCATTTTGGCCTTTAGAGAAACGTATTTTGAGGGTATCAACTCCCAGTAAATGTCATTTTGTGAAGTCTAGCCACTCATTTTTACTCGATACTTTTCCTTTTAATACTTAAGTACATTTTACGTATATTAAGTATCACTTTGAGGTACTTTATACAACACTGGATAAGTCCACGTCAAAGTAAAAGTAAAAATAAAAAAGTCCTTTTACGTCCTTTGTAAAAGCTGCCCCAACAAGCTGTGTCTGTGTCTCACCTGCCCACAGGGATGGCCAGGTAGAAGATGGAGAGCATCATGGTGCGTTTGTTACTGGTGAACAGGTCTCCGATGATGGTGGGAGAGATGGAGGAGTAGCTGGACTCTCCGATGCCCACCAGTCCTCTGGAGAGGACAAACAGCCAGTAGTACTGGGAAAAGACAAGAAGTTCAGATCAATAAGCTCTGAATGTAATCTTTGTGGACCCTCCCACACTTCACAGACTTAAACTTTTTACTTTATTCTCATAAATATACTKTCTGTGCTCCTGATGGTGCCTATAGGGCTGCAGCATTTTTACAATTCATTCACTCAATCTGTCAAAAATGCTTGATAAACCATCGTTTGGTGAAAATAGTTGCAGACACTCCATTTTATAACCTTTTTAAAAGCTCACACAACCCACAACAACGACTGTGGCTAATTATAAGTGTTTAAACACATGAATTGCCYCAATGTAAGCATTAAACTGGCACAATACACCTTTACATGATCACATTTAAATGAATTGTTTGCTGTAGAAATGAAAAGATGACTGTTTTTAAAGGCTTTCTGTTGGGGGGGGGGGCTGTGTAGGCAGCAGGAATGTCAACTGTTTCCATGACAGCTGCTATTTAAAAGATAGACTTCATCTCTGCATGTGACTCTGCAAGGAACCGTAGTTCCCCCACCCAGAGAGAGCACACAAACTATCGTTTGAGCACAGAGCTGTTTGTTTCTTGGTTCAAAGGGATAATTTGACGTATTCTGAGGAATGATTTCTTTCTCAGACGTGCGCAGGTTTGTCGTGGCTTCCTGCACGGTGCAGCAGCGTGATGAGTCTGTGTGTGGGTTGGAGGAGCCGGGTCGAGGCCCAGCTCAGAGCTGTCCCACAGACTCCACCAACAGAGTCCCCTCTCCTCCCCTTCAGCTGCTGGCTTCATCTTTGTTTTTTACAGCCATGGATGATGACAGGTTTCATTTACTGTCACATGTGAAGGATGTTGGAGACTCTGCTGAGTTTTCATCCCAGCAGCTTCACATGGTTCACACGGGGTCTATTTTCTTCCTCCTGCTAGTTAGTGGGATCAAAATGTTGTGGTCACCTCCAGACTGTAATCAGGCCTCGAACCAGAACTGTTCAAAACACCAGCCGTYTTTCCAAAAAAACACCATCAAATTTGGGTTGAAGTAATTACACAGTTTGATTGAAGAATGATATTTAAAACAGCTTATTTAAAATTCAGAGTTGTGATTTTATTATTCTAACCTGCTCTGCCTTACTGCTGCTTGCATCACCTTCACTCAACAGATCAACTGTTTGAGACAGAATATCTTTAAAGATATCCAACCCTGTTTTAACATGTTTTTAACCTCTGCTCCACTTCTAATTTGTTCCTTTAATCTGAATAAATTACTTTTTCACTTCTAACAACATGTCCCTTATGTCAGCTGTCTTAGCTGGGAGCAGTTTCTGAGGCTCATCGACTTAAACAACCAGCGGTGAAGGATCAGAGGYTCCATCGGACCAGGTTTGCTCACGTTGGTTCTTATTATTCTCATATCTCCCACTCTTTATGAGACTGAAGGGAATGAGTCATGTTTTCTACTTCATTGCATAAATTCAAAGAAAAAAAGCACTAAATGTTAAAAGGTTTTGCTGAGCTAAAAGGTTTTTAGCCGTTTGGCTCAAACCCAGGACACAAACAAATATTGATTTGTTTCAATTTAGCAAAATGTGAGCATTCATCACGGTCATAAAAAACAAGATCATTATTTCTGCTACATATCAGTCTGGTTCCATATCTGCTTCAAACCCAAAATGACCCAGAGTTTTTTAAACGCATAATGACTGGAGTCAGTTGGAAGTGCTTATTAACATCTGTCATATGTCATGGTGACAGGTGCTGCAGCAGTGTTACAGAAGATCTGTAGTCTTATTTGACTGGAACAATCAGTGTGTTCAGGGTGGAAGTGAAGAGTGAGGCACAGAGAGGAAGAGGAGCAACAGTCACGACTGTTTGTGACGTTTGTCAGAAGGAAAGAAGCCTCTAACCATCGGCAGCGGCAGCGCTAACTGACTGAATACTTGGCTTCCAGCAGACGAGTCTGCAGAAACTGCCCCCCTGAGACCACCGACATGTCTGAGCTGTCACTGCCATCCTCAGCTCTAAGAGCTGCAGAAGTGGCGTTTGACCTGCATCCATARATACTGACAGATTTCGTTGTCTTAAAATTTCTAGGTTTACTTTCCTGAATATTGTGAGCAGTTGTGTGACTAAGTACTTTTCTTATTGATGAAATTCTTTTTTTATTTGAGATGCACGTTAATTTTGGGAGATCAGCAGAAACTTAGATTAGATGGAAAAATCTGAAAATCAGCCACAGTCTCCTTCAGCTCTGCTGTGAGCACTACCAGTTAAAACAAGCTGGTATTCTTCCATGTTTTCAATAAAATAACATTGGAACATTAATAGTGTATTAGGGGTCGACCGATATTTGCGTTTTTTTCCTTGTATCGGTATCGGCTGATATGTCCGTCCGTTCGGCTGATCCGTTCTTTGGGTCACGTTAGCGCATGTGTCCGCCCCCTCCCTCTGGGAGAGAACGGCTGCTAATGTTGTGAGACAGAGTGTCAACAACAATAAGGTGAGCAATGAACTGTAAATATGTTTAACTGTCTAATTTAGCTGTTGCTGCCCTATTTGCCTGCCTTTGTAAAAACATTTACAAAAACAAAGTGTGTTGCTGAATTAACAGTTTCATGCTAGCAGCCTGAACAGTGAGCAGATCTGGATCCTAACAGACTAATTATTGTTGATGAACAGGTCTAATGAAGTGAAGCTGAGGCTCCTGCACCGCCCCTGWGAACTGAAGCCGGTGTCGTACCTCTGTGCTGATGAAGGAGCTCAACACGGTAACAATGGACCAGAAGAAAATGCCACAGCTCAGGATGACCTTTCTGCTGAAGCGGTCGCCAAGGAAACCGAAGATGGGAGCTGCCAACATGAAGCTGCAGATGAAGACTGTGGAAAAGACAAAGTTATTACTATGGTTACAGTAAATAAAACAAGAGGCAAGAAGCTAATGATTCTCAGAAGAACCAACATGTATCATGTGTCTAATGTATTCTCAGTCCTGAATCGTCACATATCCATGCTTTTCCAAGGTTCCCTCTGCATCTTATTCTGACATGTCAGGTACACCGACCTGTTGCATCAGTTACTGACATGTCAGGTACACCAACCCATCGCATCAGTTATTGACACGTCAGGTGTACTGACCCGTCAGTTATTGACATGTCAGGTACACCAACCTGTCAGTTATTGACATGTCAGGTACACCAACCTGTCAGTTATTGACATGTCAGGTACACCAACCTGTCAGTTATTGACATGTCAGGTACACCAACCTGTTGCATCAGTTACTGACATGTCAGGTACACCAACCTGTCAGTTATTGACATGTCAGGTACACCAACCTGTCAGTTATTGACATGTCAGGTACACCAACCTGTCAGTTATTGACACGTCAGGTACAACGACCTGTTGCTTCA